CTCAGAGCATTTGCCAGTGTGATTATTTGGGGAACACAGTTATTGGCTAGGGCTGCTATAATAAAGTACCATGAACAGACAGGGCTTAAACAAGAGCATTTTCTTTTGTTTTTGTCTCATGGCTCCTCCAGAGGCTAAAAGTTTGAGATCAAAACATCAGTAGGGTTGGTTTCTTCTGGGGGCTGAAGGAAAAATCTGTACCATGTGTCTTAGTCACTTTACCTTTCACTAGGATAAAAACCGGACACCCACAGCTTAAAGAAGGAGAGGTTTATTTTGGTCATGGTAACAGCGCCTGGCCAACAGGCTCCAAGGCAGAAACAGGGTGCGAGAGTGTGGCAGAAGACAGCTACTCACACCATAGCTGCCAGGAAGCAGAGTGAAGGGAGGAATCTTCCCTATCACACCCCAGTGACCTGTGTCTAACAAAAGCCCCTTCCTTTTTTTTTTATTTTTGGTACCCAGGATCAAACTTGGGCCCCCACAGAGCTTGCAAAGCAGGTGGCAAAACCACTGAGCTAAATCCCCGGCCCACAAAGGCCCCTCCTAACAGCATATTCAGCTACTGAACTCATTTATAGATGAACCCACTAATGAGCACAGTACCCCTGTGATCTAATCATCTCCCAAAAGCTCCACCTCTGAGCACATAAGCACTTGGGGGGGCATTAGATCTAAACGATAACATCATATTTCCCCCCTGGCTTCTGGTAGTCTCTAGCAATCTTTGGCATTCCTGGCTTGTGGAAGCATCACTCTAATCCTTGCCTTCTTCTCTCTGTGTATCTGTGTCCAAATTTGCCCTTTTCATGAGGATGTCACTCACACTGGATTAGGACCCACATTGATGAGTCAGTTTAACTTGATTACATCTCCAAAGACCCTATTTCTGAATCAAATCACCTTCCAAAAATTAGGGAAACAATTCCTTTCACAAATAGCATCCAAAAATGAAGTATCTAGGAATCAATCTAACAAAAGAAACAAAAGACCTCTACACTGAAAACTACAGCACTCTGAAAAAAGAAACTGAAGAGGATATAAAAAAATGGAAAGATATCCCCTGCTCCTGGGTAGGAAGAATCAACATAGTGAAAATGGCCATACTACCAAAACTGCTATACAGATTCAATGCAATACCAATTGAAATTCCAACACTGTATTTCACAGAACTAGAAAGAAGAATCCAAAAATTCATTTGGAACCAGAAGAGACCTAGAATAGCAAAAGCCATCCTAGGCAACAGACACATGGCAGCGGGTATAACAATTCCTAGTTTGAAACTATACTACAAAGCCACTGTGATAAAAACTTCATGGTACTGGCAAAGAAACAGATCTGAGGATTAGTGGAACAGATTGGAAGACACAAAAACAAATCCAGATGTACTCAGCTACCTCATCTTTGACAAAGGAGCTGACCATCCTCAGTGGAGGAAAGATAGCCTCTTTAATAAATGGTGTTGGAAAAACTGGATTCCAACCTGCCACAGATTAAAACTAGACCCTTATCTTTCACCATGCACTAAATTAAAATCCAAGTGAATTAAAGATCTAAATATTAAAACAGAAACGCTAAACTTGCTGGAAGATAAATTAGGCAGAACTCTTGAAGACATTGGCATAGGAAAAGACTTTATGAACAAATCCTCAGTAGCACAGGAACTAGCACAAAGAATCAACAACTGGGATCTCATCTTATTAAAAAGCTTCTGCACTGCAAAAGAAACCATCAACAGAACTAAGAGACAACCTACAATGTGGGAAAAAAATTTTCCCAGCTGTTCCTCAGACAAAGAACTCTTATCTAGAATATATAAAGAACTCAAAGCAGCCAGCCCCCCCCAAATATAAAGAACCAATTCAAAAATGGGCATCTGAAATCACAGACATTTCTCAGACAAAGAAGTAAAAGCAGTAAGTAAATATATGAAAAAATGTTTCACATCACTGGTCATTTGAGAGATGCAGATGAAAACAACACTGAGGTTCCACCTCACCCCACAAAGAATGGCTGCTATCAAGAAATCAAACAATAACAAATGTTGGCAAGGTTGTGGGGAGAAAGGAACCCTTCTCCATTGTTGGTGGGAGTGCAGACTGGTGCAACCACTATGGAAATCAATATGGAGATACCTCAAAGAACTGGGACTGGAGGTTCCATTTGACCCAGCCATCCCTCAGCTGGGTATCTTTCCAAAAGAACTGAAAGAATCATATCACAGTGATGTATGCGCACCCATGTTTATAGTGGCACAATTTGTAATAGCTAAAACTTGAAACAGCCCATTTGCCCATCAGTTGGAGACTGGATAAAGAAGATGTGGTTTTTCTATAAAATGGTATATTACTCAGCCATAACAAATGAGAAATTAGATTCATTCATAGGAAAATGGATACATATTGAGGATATACTCCTAACTAAAATAAGTAAGTCACACATGTGTAAATACCAAATAGTTTCTCTGGTGTTCATAAACTGTAATAGTACATAAAATCCTAAAGAGATAACTGACATTGTGAAATGGGAAGCAAGGGGCTAAAGGTGTAGGGAAGTTGGGATGGGTAGGGGAAGGGTAATAAGGGAAAAGAAAAAAATGTGAGAAAATGAAAAGATGGAAATGAAGTGTTTGTAAATGGGAAGGGGAGGAGGGGTGAATGGAGGGCAGGGACAAGGGGAAAAAATGAGAACCAAGACCTGTCATGTAGAGGTACAAGATCCCAACAATGAATGTAACTGTACTGTATCCCTAAAATGTACAAATAAATACAATTTTTAATAAAAAAACAAAAAAATAGTGGGGGTTAGGACTTCAACACAGGAACTTGAGGAAAGTACAATCCAAACAATAAAGGAGAACTATCATCAGAGCCACACAGGATTTGGGTCCTTCTTCCCTTTCTGTGCCAAGCAGCAGGATTGGGGAAGACATACCAGTACCACCACAGGAAGCTGCACCCTGCAGCCCAGGAAATAGAGTCCTACATGGTAACTGATCACTCAGAGGAAAGGGAGGAACCCCACTGCCATGAAACAAATGACAAAACCTAACCAGAAATGAGTCCTGTCCCCACTTACCCAGTCACCAATGGAAGCCTATTAGTCACAGGAATCACTTTAGAAAATCATAAACAGCTATTTAACAACAATAATAGATAATAGTAGATGATAGTAGATAATTATAAGCATGGTTTATTCCAGAATGCAATAGTGTTTCTCAATAACTGGAAAGCTATTACCATAATTATATAACATATTAAGGGGGAGCGATAGAGTCTGTAAATATCTCAAAGGATGCATGGGACCAAGTGCATTTCTCTTCCCATTTTCTCATCCTTCCCCTCTCCTCTTCACCATGTGACTTTAAATCCCTTCCACTAGAGGCAGAGTCACCTCCCCCACTTTTATTATTTTGGGGGATGGCTCTACAACTTGCTTTACCCTGAGAAAATTGGGTAGCAGTGTCAGTATGCCACTTCCAAGCCTAGGCCATACAGAACATGATTGATTTCCTCTTGTTCTTCCTTATCCTTCTGCCATCACCATGAGAAAACTACCTCGACCACTGGTCCAATGAAAATGAGAGACTTTTAAAGAGAGCTTAATCCAAGCTTTAGGCAAGCTGGATTAGCCAAACTCTAGCTACTCCATGAATGTGTGAGTGTTAAAATAATTGTAGTATGAAGGCATTGAGTGCAGGTTGGCTGTCCTACAATATTATGGTGGCAATGGTTAACTGATATAATACAGAAAAGGCACTTGGAAAACTCAGTGTTTGTCTTGGGCTTAAAACACACCCACTCACACAGTTACACGACTACCTAAAAACTGTGGTCAGCTTTGCAATATTTGTTCCTTTGAAATATTTTCTACAAGAACCATAAAGCAAGCATCAAATACAAAGCTAAAACATTAGAATTAGTCATGTTAAATTTACAAACAAGACCAAGATGCTAACTTTTAAAGATATATCTTTCAGTAATAGATTCTAGACAATGACTAAAACAGAATAAATAAGTGGTATAAATATGGGAAGGAAAGAGACAAAAATCTCCATACAGTAATACATTTGTTAATCTAAAAATATATCTCAACCAAAAGTAGAGCCTGAACAAACTTGGATGCAGATGGTATATTTTGGAGGTGATCCCAGGAAAGGAAACTTTGGGAGGTAGAGGAAGGTGTGTAAAGGAAGGCAGAAAAGCCACATAAAGTTATGTAATTATTCCACCAAGACCAAATATATACAGATGAAGAAATCTCTCAAATCTCTCTTGAAAGGACAGGAAGTGGGGACATTTATCTCTCAGTTTCTGAACCCTGCTGGTCAGAGGCTGCTCCTGGAGGGCTGTGACTCCCTAAACATCTGGGTTGCACTTGTCCAAGGGATGAAGAACTGCCAAGGTTCTGTCAAAAGTCAGCATGGAGGAATATTTTAAGAAGTGTTCTGAGGGGTGGCAATACAGCCCAAAGAAGTTTTCATGGGATTCAGAATCAGAATTAAGGCAATCAGAGCATGCCCAAGAGCCTAAGCCACAGGAAGGTCCCCAGGAACAGGGCGTAGGCAACTGGGGAAACAGTGAAGAAAGAGGAGGTTTGGAAGGAAAAAGGGAGGGTGGTCCCCCAGAAAAAGAGAAGGCCTGTAAGATTGTCCTAATATCTCCTACTGTCATCTCTAGTCCCTATGAGACAGGCATTTGGCAGAAATTGCCGCCCCCTCACCTCTGGCTTCTCTCCCACCCCACATCCCAGTTAGTGCTCATACTGGTGCTGAAATGTAACCTGGCCTTTGAACATTGGTATCACAAAATTGGAGGACCCTTCTAAAAACCCCAAATGGTGCTTGGATTTGTTAACAATATTAATACTAATAGGAGTCCCTTTGAGCCAATAGAAACCAGTAGCAAGCTGTCCAGGTTGGAAAACCAGCTCTTGCCCTGAGCCCCCAGGCTCACAGTTCTCATGCAGCATCACCAAAAGGAAGGTCTGGGAGAAGATACCTGGCCTCCAGTCCTGGATGGGGACAGCCTCTTGGCTTGGTGACCTCAGGATTGTCACTGGCTCTCTCTTGGCCACAACTTCCCAGCTATAGTGAGAATAAGACTGTTCAGACCTTCTTTATTCCACAGGACTTGTGGAAAAACAAATAGTCCCTGAGTTTGAAAGCAAAGCGCTTAGCAGGAAGCCTCAGTTTATATATTGTGTTGGCACCTTTTTCAAATCATAAACCATTGGTTGATGCTCTCCCTAAGTTAGGTTACATACTAAGCACTGTTGGGAGATTCAAAATGCTAAGACTGCCCAATCAGGAGTCTATCAAGTCCCCTCTTTTCACTGGAAAAACTAAGCAACTCTCACCCAATCTCTGCCCCTCTCTCCTTTCTTCTTTCTCACCACATCTTGCCTTTCTTTCCATCAGTGCCTTCCTGTTCCTGGCTCTTACCTCTTTCACTTCAATACTCTCCCAGTTTCCGCATTCTTGAGGAATGACCATCTTTCCCTTTCTCAGTCCACCATCTTCCCACTGCCCAGTGGACATTTTTATTTTGTAAAGGGTTAGATGATAAATATTTTAGTTTTAGCAGACTGTATGGTCTCTGCCACAATTCAACCTGTCATTTTATGAAAGGCAGGCACTAGAAGTAATGTAATCACGCAGGTGGGCCTTGTTCCAATCAAACGTTTTTTACAAACATGGGTGAAATATAGCCCACAGGTTGTACTGGAGACCCCTTTTCTTGTTAGGTAGAACACAGTGGCCCATATCTCTAACCAGCTCCTAAATGACACTTAAGTAGTGGTCAAGAGTGAAGCTCTCAATGAGCTTCTGTGACAGGTACAACTTGCTCATTGGCCTTTCCAAATCTCTTCTCACTTGCTGCCTTCCAGGATAGAGGCTGAAAAGGCCAAATTCATGCTTTCTTGATTTCCTTTGCAGCCAGGTGGCCATGTAAACCAGTTAATACCAAAACAACTAAACCAAAGTGCAGGGGTTCCCTTTTCCCCTAAGTTCTCAATAATTTGAGGATTAATATAAAAGAATGGCAGTTGAAGTCTTGAATTTCATCTTTCTTATTATAAAGGCTATTTAGAGACTTGTTAGGTGAATCACAGAAAAGGGCAGATTTATGCACCCTGGGATGACTAGGACAGGTCTCTCCATCTGGGTGCAGAGATGAGGGAAAGACTTACTAGTCAATGGTGCAGATGATAACTGGTACCTTCAAGTAGGCTTTCTCCCTGGAGGAAAATTGGTGTTGCTAAGCTGAGAAAGCTCCATTTATTCTTTCTGAATTTAGCAATCATTTGCATCATTCCACTTCCACTGGGATAGAAGAAATAAAGGGTCAGAGAAAAATTGGAAGTGAGTCACAATGAAGGAAGCCATCAAAAAGTGGGACAGCCACTTACCCCTCTCTGGAGCTTTTTGTCTTCTTACCATATTGGACTTAGCAGTAAACATGTAGTAAAGAGGAGGTGTGCAGTATGATAGGGAAGTCCCACATTCCTGTTCATGCAACAGCAAGAATCGTTTTTTTGCCTTTGGTTCCTTCCTGGGAACATGAGTGGGCAATTTTCATTTTTTCCTCATAAGGGTCTGAAATGAATCAGAATGACCCCACAGGGTCAGAAAAAGACATTCATTAAACCTCATCTTTTCTTAACCCAAAGCCAAACATTCATTCCCTATATTATTTCTTTCCTAAATTATATCCATATGCCATATTTCTGCATAACCATCCAGAGGTTGTGAAAATCATATTTATCCATTCAATATATATTTAACAAGCATCTATTTTATTCCAGGTAGAGTTCTAAGTGCTAAAGATACACAAACAACCACCAAAGATGAACATACCTGCCCTACAAAGCTCATATTCCAGTGGGGGGAGATGGACAAGAAATTATTGTCAAAATGAATAAGTTGTATTGTTTGTTTGGAGGTGAAGAATGCCATGAGAAAAGAAAAGTGGGGTGAGGACCATTAGGAGAAGGGAGTATGCTGCACTTGTAAAGGAGATCAGGGTGGGTCTGTTACCTGGTTTCTTTAGAAATGACTCGCTGATCAAAAGTATTCCAGGTCCTTCTTGCCTGGAACAAAGAATTAGATGAGACAAACCAAAAATGATGCCTAAAATTTATTTGAAAAATGCAGGGTAAATGGGTATGGGAGAGATCCCTCTGCAGAGTGAACTTGGGCAAAACAAAGAGAAAAAGAGGGTAAATACAAAAATAAAAGTACACACTGCATCTGAAGCGTCCTGAGGGCTATCGTGGGAACCCAGGCACAATGGTGGCTTTCTGCGATGGCTGGTCTCCTTTTACGCAATCCACATCTACTGGGAGCTCACAAGAAGTTCTACATAGGTACATGGACCTGACATTTCCCTGGGATCTTGTAACTGACAAGTTCCGCTCATTTTTTTTCAGATTTGCCGTGCCCTATCTCCTTTATTAGGTCCATTAAAGAAGTCTATACACAGCAACATTTTTGGGGGGTACTGGAGATCGAATTTGGTACCTTCCACTTGTGAGCAACATTTGAAAAGAAGGACTAGTAATGCAGGTAAAGAGGACACCATAATTGCCAGGCCTTAGGGTACAAGTGGGCATGACCTATGCAATGAGAAGGAGACTGGCTGGAGTAGAATGAACAAAGGAGTGAGAGAATGGAGAAGCGAGAAAGGACCAGATTAGAACACACCAGGGGATACACTGGACCTCCAGAGGAAGTCATTATCTGATTTAGGCATGCTATGTTAAGAACAGACAACAGGAAAACAGGAATAGAACCAAGAACAGAAGAAGCAAGCTCTTGCATCTGAGAGAAACAGTGGTTTGGACCAAGTGATACAGTGCAGGGTATGAGAAAAGACTGGAGCTCATATTTTTAAGGTAGCATCCACAGAATTTCTTAAACCGGCTGTGGTGGCACATGCCTGTAATCCCAGCACTCAGGAGGCTGAGGCAGAAGGATCGCTGTTCGAGACCAGCCTAGGCTACATAGTGAGTTCCAGGTCAGTCTCAACTACAAAGAGAGACCCTGTCTCAAAAAACAAAAAAAAAACAGAATCTCTTAGACATTTGGTATGAGAAAGAAAAGCCTCAAGAATTCTATGGTCATCATCACAATGAAATTAAACGATAATATTAAAACATTTGCTCTTCAAGACTTCTAGAATGGCAGAGTGAGGACCTTGCCATAGTCAACCCACAGCAAACCAATAACCAAAAAATTTTTAATGATTCTTTAAAAACTTCATTTTTAAATTGTCCTAAGGTCACAGAGTAGATGAGGAAACATATATTCAAGAAAATCTGCTAAATCTTGGCAAGGACAGCCAGGGTGCATAGTAGTTGAGCCATAGAACAGGGGCTCCCTTTCCTCCAGTTCCCAGTTTGGGGCTACAGTTCATTCTGAGAAGAGCAGGACTCCCACATTTCTGTGCCCTTCCAGCCCCAAATTGAAGAACTTCTATTCTTGATATGGGTTGATAAAAGGACTGAGGTCCCTTAGCCCACCTAGTCCCCACTTGTGTGGTGCAAGCTCTAGTGTCCATGAGGCAGGCTGTGCATACTGAGTCCCAGTCATCTCTTTATCAGCCCATTCATCAAGTGGAGGTTCCATGCTAGCGTGGGAAAGCCAAGAAGACAGGAAGCGACCACCCCTCCTAATGCTTACCTGCAGAGCAAGAATTCCACTATAAGAGAATAACTGCTCCATTTTCCCATTCAGGCTCCTGTGCAGTGTTGTAGAGATTATCCCAGGAAACGTGACATGTCATAAGGATAAAGAGCTCCACAGCACTCCCTGAGTGGACTGACTGTACTTGGAACAGAATGTGGAAAAGTCCATGCCTGTGGGTGTAGTTCAAATCCAGGAGACCTTGGTGAAGGGTAATTGGGAGGATGCTGGTAGCTCTAAGACACTGGTAGCAACAGCATCAGTGAGATGGCAGAGTGGCCAGAAATTAATAGCATAGAAGACTGCCAAGAAGAGCCCTCTTGGGGATCACAGTGGGCCTTGGGGATCAAGAAGACTGTGTACATGCATTAATCTGCATATACTCAGGAATAATCAGAACTGGAGATGGAGCCAAGCTTGTATTCCCCAAGCCACACACAGACTCGTCAACAAAAAGCGTAAGTCTCACAGGCACAAATGAATTGAAATACAATCGGTGATGAAACATCGGCTAAATAATAAGCTACAATGACCCAGGGGAACTCCCAGGAAACCAGGCTTAAAAATAAAACCATACATATCCGTGAAAGTCTGAATAAATGCTAGCAAGCCCAAGGCTATGCCCTTTCAAGAGTAAAGGAGGTGACTTCCAAGCCAGTCTCTGGCTGAACATGAAACAAAAATATAAATTCCCTGGACTATGAGCACAGCCTCCAATACATACACACATTCTTCCCCAGAAAGATAGAGGGAGAGAAGGTAAGACTCTTAACAGACTAGGGAGTGTAAGCACAACAGTTGGCTGTATTGTGAGTTTAAGGGTGACTCCTACGTAGCAGACTAAAATTTACAAACTGGAGAAGGAAATCTGAGCTTCAGAGGCTGAACATTGCAGGAAAACAGACTTCCACAGAGTTCAGCCAAGTCACTAAAGAAATAAACAAACTACCAAGCAAATAACATCAATCCTGGACCAAGAGAGAAAGGCATCAATATCCAGAGTTTCTAAAGTTTTTTAAAGAAACATCCATATTTTAAAACTAAAACTTTAAAGTAGATCAATGAGTAGGAAAGCATGGGCTGTAATTATAGGGGAAAGCAACAAGAAGTACAAATTGCTTTTGAAAGACCCCAATGAAGAATATAGCATACAAAGACTTCAAAGTAGCTACTATAATTCAAGCAACTAAATAAAGCTATGAGGTGCTATTAAAAAATAGTGTGGCTTTAAATTTAAAATTTTTTATTATAATAAAAGATACTTTATTACTAATTGCCCTCAAAATACTTTACTTGCTTCAAACACAGTCATCACACCATTCTTACCACTTTCTGAAGCAGTTCTGGAAGTCATTTTTCATGAGTATTTTTCATTGTATAGTTGTGGCTGCCTCAATGTCCTCAAACAATTCAAAGCATTTACCTTTCGTGGTCATTTTAAACACAGCACCAGTCTTGGTGAATAAGGTGGATGAGGACATGCTGTAATGTCTTTACCAGCCTGCCTTTCTGTTGAATGGCACTTGGCAGATGCATTCACTATATTTTTGACCACCTCTCATAACACTTAGGAAGGAGAACTCCTAGA